ACAGGGATAGAGGGAGACGAGAAGCTCCCAGGTAATGCCCTGGCTTCGGGCCTGGGCTGAGTTGGGAGATGACGTGAATACATAGGAATGATGCCTGAGATGGAGCCGTGTCCACTCCTGGTGTCGGAGTTTCATTGTGACGCTGCCTAGGAAGAGGAGAGGAACTTGAGAAGGCCTGACTTGCTGAGTACAGGGCACGCAGGCCCAGGAGTGTCAGAGGTGCAGCTGGTAGGCTCCAAGGCCTGAGAAGGCCCCCAGAGGACAGAGAAGGAGACTCTTCTCTCCCCACCCCTGCCCTGGCCCCCTGTATAGAGGTCCAAAGTGGGGCCTGCCAGTATGGATTTGCTCATCCCTCAACAGACACGGAGTATGGCCCTGGACAGATGGGAAAGCAAGGAGAGACCTGACAGCCTGCCCAGGGCACGGTGTTCGTACTACAGGACGGGATAGGAGCTGAGTGCTGGGAAGGGGTGAGGCCCCGTCTGTGGAGGGGGGCATGCAGAGTAAGGGGGGCATGCAGAGTAGGGGGCTTTCCAAAGCCCGGAAGTCCTGACCCACTCTGAAACCTCAGTACTAGAAGAATGCCCTCCAGCTGTTTCGCTTCCCTTAGTCAAGGCCACCCAGGCCCACTAGGGCCCAGCCTCCTCCCTGAAAAGCTGGTCCAGCTAGCCTTGCCAGACTTTCACATTGGCCTTATCAGCCCAGGAGGCCTGGGTAGCTTTACTGGGGGGCCTAGCACCCTCCCATCCTGGGAAGCCCTCTGGGGGCTCTCTGCCACCATGAGCCCAGTTTTCCCAAGGGACTCTCCAAAGGGGTGGTGGGCAACAGGATCCCTGAACCCTCCCACTCCCAGGGGCTGGGGTGGAGGGATGTCTGAGCAACTTATAAAGAGGATTTTCTGAGTCCCAAGAGTAGGGGGTGAGTCTGCATAGGGACCTTGCCCAGATGGCCCTTTGGGAGGCCACCTGAAGGTAAACTGGGGATCCTCTCCTCGGCTGCGTGGATCGCTGGGGTTTTGGGATATGAGGGGCTCCGAAGTGAACTCTGCACCTGTCTGCTTCCCCCTCCAACACTCCACCAAAGGCCACCCTTACGGTTAGAAACCTCCCAGGGAGAGGGAAGGGGACCCTCCTGCCGACAAGGTCCAGGTATTGCTCTCTGAAGACCTCCTAGTTGTGTCTGTGCACCCATTTCGCAGAAGGGAAAGTGAATACAGGAGCAGTGGCTGGAAGCCTGGACGCCGCGTCTCCCCAGCGCTGCGGGCGTCGGACCTTACACGATCCCTTCCCCGGGATGACGCCGGATTCTTTCCAGCATCACCCTGACCCCATAGAGGCGCCCACAAGCAGGGCGTGGGGCCGGACCGCCCGTGGTAATGACAGGGCCCGCGGCCCGGCCCGTGGGTGGCGGCGGCGGAGGAAGCTGGAGGGATCTGGCTATTTCTGGTCGGGGCGCGCCTGCTCGCCTGGGCAGGGGTTGGCCGGTCCGCACGGCCCCCAGCTCTGCCCTCCCTCCGGCCTCCTCAGGAGGGGCGGGGAGAGGCGCGGGTTGGCGGGCTCAGGGGGCGGGGGCGCAGGCCGGCGGGGGCGGGGCGGAGTCCGGGCCCACCCTCGGCCTCCTCCTACCCGATCCACTCGGATCCCTCCACCGCGCTCTGCTCGGACCCGGTGCCGGCGCCGCTCACGTGAGTCCCGCGGTGCCCCTCCCGCCGCGCCGCCCGTGGGGCATGGACTCGGGCGGGGACTTCCTGACCCTGCACGGTGAGTGCCCGGCCCGCGCCAGCGGGAGACCCTGCCGGGGCGAACGCCTGGAGAGCCGTTCCGGGCCCTGGACCCGGCGCCCCCAGCTCCCTCGCGCCTCCACCCCGCCCCGGGCCAGCCTCTGGGCCCCCTCCCCGGACTCGGAAAATCTCAGCCCGCGGCTCCCTGGGTGGGACTGTCCGCAGGACCCTGGGCGTTTCCAGGCTTGTCCCAGATCTGGCCCGGGGTCGTGGGGGGTGGAGGGGCGGCATGGGTCTGAAGACTTCCCTCCGCCTCGCGGACTCCCTTGTCCTGGTCGTGAAAGTCTGGTCCGGTCCCGGTTGGACGGAGGGGCGGAGGAGGAAGGAAACAGCATCCAAGAACGACCAAATTCTCCTTGCCTCATCCGGGCGGCCCCAGAGGCTCCCCAAAGCCCTGACGTGCCTGGACCGCGTACGGCCGCGGGGATGTGGCGGGGTGGGGCGAAGAGGTGTCCAAGGTTAGCCGTGGTCTGGCTGTGCAGCCTTAACTGCCCAGCGCAGAAATAGCAATGCTCAGGCTGGGAGAAGCAGCCTGATCCCATCATCTGCGACCCTCCAGGGGGCATAGGGCCAGGTCTCAGCCGGAGCTGCCTGCTCCATCCTTTGTCCAGTGGAGCTTTGTTTCCTCCGATATGAGCCAGCTCTTTGCCCTTTCGCTGTTTCTCCAGCAGCGGGGGGATCCTGGGCTCCCGAACACAGGTCTGGAGGCCTTCTGGGAGAGGGGAGTTTGGGACGGGTAACTTTGACTGGGCGTGAGTTTGCTCCAGGCCAGGGACGCACCCACTCTTGGCGGGGGCTTGCCCTCCTCCCCCTCCAGGTCACTTGCCAGCTCCGCAAACCCTGCTCCTTTCATGCCAGTCACTGCTTTACTGCATATCCCTTTCTTTTCTAGTACCCTTGGGGTTGGAGACTTTAGTGGCCACCACCTATCCATCTGAACTGTTCATGGACATAATAGATGAGAAAGAGAAGGGCAGAGCCCTCCAGCCTTCTGCTGGAGTCCCCTGGAATTTCAGGAGACTTAGAGATGTTCCCATCAGTCAGCCTCCAGCCTATCATGTTTTCCAGTTGGCCCAGACCTGGTCCTTCTGGCCCAGAGAGACCTTGCTCTGTGCCCAGAGCTGGTGCCTTCATACCAATAGCCTAGACTCCTTAAAACTACCTTTTAAGAGCCACGGAGCCCCTGCCCCTTCCAGTGCTCCCTCATCTTTCTTCAGGCCAGAAGTGTCTTTAGTGTGCCTGCCAGACTAGCAAGACGGGAGGCTGGGCAGCTCAGATGACATAGTGGAGACCTCTGCTTTTCCTCTGATGTAGCGTCGTTCCTCAGCTCCTGCTGGAACAGGCTTCATCCTCGGTGTCTGTGCCTCTGTCAGTTTCTCTCCTGAGGCAGCCCTGATATCTTTTCCATGGAGGAAGACACACAGAGGCTCAATCAGGACCTCTCAGTCCTGTGGTCTGGGGTTGGCTGCCCTGGCCCACCCCATTTGAGACTAGCCTCCCAAATGTCTCAGTCCTGCCTTTCCCGAAGGGTTGACATAAACACTGTGACCTCAAGCTAGTTTCCCTGAGGGTCCTGCCACTTCTAGCTGATCACCCAAAATTACCTACCTTAACTGCCTTCTGTCCACACTGCAAACCAAACGGGGAAATAAGAATGTGTCAAGGGGAATCGTTGGTGGGAGGGGGTGGTTACTGTGCCGGGTGCTGTTCCAAGTCGTCTACACTTGCATCGGAGAGTCTGTATCCATTTCACAGCGTGGGTGCCCCAGCACTGTGCGTGCTGCAGGCCCACTCTCTCTGGCTTGGGGCTCCATACTCTCTGGAAGGAGCCCAGAGGGGCTCCTTCTGTTGGCCCGGGGAGATATGGGGCTCACCTAGATATGAGATGCCCCTTCTGTCCTCCCCCCAGATGCATGCAGAGGTAGTAGAGTTTACTGGCATAAATTCTGAAAGCAAAGTACCTGAATTCAAGTCTTGGCTTTCTCATCTCAGATGAATTCCTTGACTTCTTTGTGTGTCAGTTTCCTCACCTGTAAAGTGGGGGATAATACCATCTACCTCATAGGGTTGCTATGAAGATTAAATGAGGTAATATATACATGGCATTTAGAACAGTGCCTGATACCCAGTGAGTGCTGTGTGCCTGCGGGAGGCCCCCTCCCCTCTATGCCCTATGAGCTGCTGTCTTAGTTCTTTGGGAGATGATAGGCCATCATAAGATAGTTCCTAGTCAGGGAAAATAGGGTCAGAACTAGATCCAAGATCCGCCGAGCTCCTTCTAAGCCCTCTGAAGCCCTCAGATGCTACAGCCTCCATCCTCCTTCCCTCACTTTACTTCCTCCACTCTTTTTATACTGGTTGTGCCTGGACTGGCTTCTCCAGCAGGTCCCCCTGATGTGCCCAAAAGGACATCACCTTCCAGGGCCCTCCCCTCACTGAACACACACCCCCAAACACTAACTTTTCCTATGCCCAATCCCTTTTGCCCCCTGCAAGACTTGCCATTTGTAAAAATAGAAAATAGAGGGTCCTCATCTTGGCCCCAGGAGACCTGGGCTCCAGTCCTAGCTTTGCTTCTATTTACCCTGGGCCTGAGAATCATCCATGGGATAGCAATACATGTTTCACAGAGGGTGTGGGGAACATAAACACCAATGGGCATAGGAGTTCTAGGCTGCCGCAAAAAACAGTCCGCCAAGAGATGATTCCAGAGCATCTTAGTAAGTTGGGGTGGCCAGCTTCTCACCCACCTATGTTCAAAAGCTGTCTGTCCCTGGGCTTCCAGGCCCGTGCTACACAGGCACACACGGAACTATGTCAGTCTTAACTTTTTGTGCCATAGACCACTTTGGCAGTCAGGTGAAGCCTGTAGACCCCTTCTATGATCACGATTTTATTTATTTTTGACACAGAGTCTCCCTCTGTCTCCCAGGCCAGAGTGTAATTCACGCCATGTCTGCTCACTGCAACCTCCACCACCTGGGTTCAATCGATTGTCTTTCCTCAGCCTCTCAAGTAGCTGGGATTACAGGCACCGCCTACCACACCCAGCTAATTTTTGTACTTTTAGCAGAGAGGATTTCTCCATGTTGGCCAGGCTGGTCTCAAATTCCTGACCTTAAGTGATCTGCTCGCCTTGACCTCCTAGAATGCTGGGATTACAGGCGTGAGCCACTGCGCCCAGCCAGGAGCATGTTTTTAAAAGCAGAAAATAAAATACCTAAGAATTCAAAGGAAGCCAGTTATTTTGAGATGTGATTCTATCCACAGGTTCTTGAGGGGTCTTTGGTCTAGTTAAGAACTCCTGCGCAGTTTCTCCATAACACAGGCTTCCCTTGCACTCTGCTTCCCTCTCCAAAGAATAGCTTTTCTGTGTTCATATTTCAGCTAATCTACCTTGCCCATCTCCTGACTCACCTTGTTCATGATTTATTCTCTCTGATATGACCTTAGGCAGGTTACTCTGCGCTTCGGTTTATTGTTATTACTGCTGTGCTTGTCTGAGCCAATACTAGCTTTGCCAGTGACTCACCGTCAATGCTGGTGACTGGAGCTGCAGTGAAGCGAACTGGGGGGAGCTATTCAGAGGCCAGGAGTGAAAGAGTGAGTCAGGCCTCTGGGTGGTGTCCTGAGCTTGGCACACAGTAGGGACTCAATAAATAATTGCTGGATGAATGAAAGGGACGTTGTGATGTACATGAAAGGATCCACTGTTCCGAGCATATTGGCAGCGAAGTTTTGTGCTAAGTTACAGTCGTTCTCATGTATTCATGAAAGCCAGCCTGGGTTAATGGGCTCGTTTTAAGATCAGCATTTTTTCAAGAATTCCGTTTGCATACGGCACCTTGGGGATTATCACTTAGGTGGTCAAACCGAGACAAGGAAACAGGCCCGCCTGAGGGTCACAAATGAGGCAACCTCAAGCTGAGTCTCAATGAATTAGTTGGGCAATCGAAGTAAAAATACTTGGAGGACTGGGTTTCTGGCCCAGGCTCCGTTCCCGTTCCCGCCTGGCCTCGCACCACTCAGATCCCTGCTAGACTGCCGCCCACTGGGATTCCCGTCAGTTCTGTCTCCCCAGACTCGGCCCTTCGGTCCTGCGCCAGCCTGCGAGGTGGCGTTAGAATTCGCCGCTCGGGCTCCCTGGTCAGACTCCGCCCATGCTGCCTGCCGGGCCCTGGCCCTGCCCCCGTGCCGCCTCCAAAGTCGAGGGCCCGCCCCTCCCTGCCTGGACACGCCCCTTCAGTGCGGGATCCTCCCAGGCTTCCCTCTTGGGCCCTGGCCCCGCCCCCGGGCTGCTTCCTGGGTGTGGCTTTACCCCCACGTCGCCTCTGGAGCAGAGGCTCCCGGCCTGAGCTCCGCCCCTGGGCCAGGCCCCTCCCTCGCCCCGCCTTGGCTCTGGCCCCGCCCCCAGCCCGCTTTTTGGTCTCTGGCCTTCGACACAGATTTGCTTCCTGGGTTATGGATTTGTCCCCACTCCGCCTCCATAGGACCTGGCATCTCCTCGGCCCAGCCTCCTGGGTTCTGGATCCTCCCCCATCCCCACCCACGCCTCGACGCAGCTCTCGCCCTACCTCCAGGGGCACTGGTCCCACCCCTCTTGGATGGCCCAGCCTTTTACGGTCTGACTCCGCCTTCCTTAGCCCTGATTTTCTTCTCGTTCCGCCTCCTGTGTTCTGATTCCCCCCATACCCCTCACTTCGCCTCGGTTCGGGGGGCATAGGTCCTGCCCCTTGAGGACTAGCTCCCCACTAGAGTCTGACTCCACCCCTCTACAGATTTCCCTTTCGTCCCGCCCCTCCAGAGTGGGCCCCTCCTCTCGAACTCTAGCTCCTCCCTGCCATTCCTGAACTCCGCCCCTGCTCCCCAGCAGGGCGACAGTTCCGCCCCCTGGACCGGAGCAGTGGGTGCTGTGAGCATAAAACACTGGAAGCGGCGCTGTCCCGGACCCGGCTCTGCGCAGGCAGGGGCACGGGCTGGGGAGCGCCATGCAGTGCCTGGGGATCCGGAGCCGGAGCCGGAGCCGCTCCAGGGAGCTCTACCTGCAGGAGCAGAGCCTCAAGGTGGCGGTGCTCAATGGACAGAGGCTGGGTAAGGGGCGCAGAACACTTCGAGATCGGGGAATGGAAAGGCAGCTGGGGCAGGACGCCCACCACTTGTTCCTTCGCTCGGGGCCATTTGCCTTGGAGCCTTTAATTGGACGTGTTTAGTACTTCTGTGAGTGTGTGACTCACTGTGGGGCAGTGTTTGCAGGGGTGAGTACTAGGGTGATTAGTTACCCCTTTTCATGATTTAATTGAGCTCCTCCAAAGCTCTCCATCCCTTGTCACCCGATGCGCTCCTGTTTACAAATTTCTGAGGCCCCCGGGTATGTGGCCTGGTGTGTTACAGGTATGACTGTGTAACCACTGAGGCGATCTGCAAGAGTTTGTGCTCCAGTATGATCCTGTGCAAAAGTGTGCCTGTATGTGATGGGTGTGACAGTGGTGATCTAGTATGGGACCCAGTGCCGGCTGAGTAGTTCTGTCACGCCTGTGGTCTGCGGTGGGGCCGCTGTGCAGTGTGTAATGATGATGATAGTGTGTAATGTTGTGAAACCCAAGTGCGTGACGTTGTGGCACTGAGTGTGACTGACCGATGTGACAGTGGGTGGCCCAGGGTGATGGAGGAGTTCTGTCATTCCATCATGGTGTGTGTATTATATGGATTTTCTGATGTTCTGACTCTGTGGCAGTGTGTCCCTGCATGGTGGCTGCGTGAAGTTTCATAGTGCTGACCCTGTGGGTAGGCTACCTGCTTCTGAGTCCTGACTCCACCATGCAGCTTCCTTGAGCCTCAGTTTCCGCTTCTGTAAAATGGGAATAATGACAGTGCCTTCCTCGGTTATTGAGAGAATTAAGTACATGTGCTAAGAACATTATCTTATTTAAACATTAACTACTATTACGGAAGCCTCTATCATCATCATCATCATGTTCTGGCACTATATGTCGTGTGGCTATGCATGACTAAGTGTGACACTGTGCAGCTCCCTGCGACAGTGTGTAATTTTGACAGCAACAACCCTTACTCTTCTTAACCCAGTGCTGACGGGGGAACAAAAGCAGAGAGAGGTATTGTGTCACTGTGTGTGGCTCATTATCTCTTTGAGGTTGTGTGTGTGGTGGTCTAGGCTGTGACTGTGTATTTGTGTGGCCATATCTGTGTAGCTGTGTATTGCTCTGGGTCCCAGGCGCAGTGTGTCTTCAGTATGCATCACCCTAGGTATAGGGACAGGACTCCTGGCACCTCCCTCGGCTTCCCATTAGCACCTGCAGCACCCTGTGTGCCTCAGCACACGACCATCTCACTGTGCACAGCTAGCCTGGGAAGGCTGCAAGTCAACCCAGGCTGAGCTCAAAGGCCCCTCACCGCCACCCTCCCAGAGGAGGAGAAGCTATTAGGTTCGTGCAAAAGTTATCTCAGTTTTTGCTATTGAAAGTAATAGCAAAAAACACAATTACTTTTGCACCTACCTAATACTATGACTGGATTGAGTGGGGTTGGGTGAGGAGGTGCCACAGGCTTTCTGGGTGCTAAGGGAACAAGGGTGCTGGAGCAGGCAGTCTAGAAGCTTCAGAAACAGAAGGGCCCCAACTGAAGCTAAGAGATAAGGGCACCTGCCCAGGTTTCCTGGTGGTCCAGAAGGCTGTGGCTGTCACCTTTCTGGAATTATCACCCTGGAACTGATATCCACCTTCTAGAAGGCATTGCTGGCAGCTGGGGGTTTATCTCTGCCTGACCATAGACGGGGCCACAGCCTGGCTCCAGGACAGGATGAGCATGTCATCTCTTCATGGTGTTTTCCAGAACAGGAGGGTGGGGCTCAACTCTACTTCCTGGCTCCCAACCCCATCCCCATCCGTGCTTTTGGCAGTGGCTTGCCCTGATGTGTGCCCAGCTTATTCGGCAGGTGCTGACAGAGGGTGAGGGGATGTCCTTCTCAGCTTTAGAGGGACATCAGCCTTAGAAGGGATAGTGGAATTCCCCAGCGGAGGCCAGAGGTGGCCCTGTCCTCTGGCAGCCTGGGAACTCCCTGCCCCTCCTCTGGTCCCGGGGCCCTCAGACATAGCCAGTAGTTGGAAATATTCTGTTGGAGCCCCTTCTTTTCTGCTGGGACTCCCCTTAGGCTAAGAAGGAGCTGTTCACACTAAGGCAGAACAGCTCTTCAAACAGGCGGACAGATCTGGGGTGAAGGTGGGGAAGGCCACATCAGACTGTCACCCCCCGAGGAGGCCCGGGGATGCCTCCCCCTTGCTGTTCTTAGCCCAGTGCTGATGGGGGAACAAAAGCAGAGAGAGGGAAGGGAGTTACGGAAAGCCACAGGATGTGGATGTTAGCACTGGCCTCTGTCCTGCCTGGAAGCAGAAGACTGGGGAGGGTTAGAGAGTGTGTGAGTGATTGAAGCCTGGGGAAGGGTCCAGAGGGTTCTGCAGGCCCTGAAGATATGGTGGGGGCAGGCTCGCTGGGGGAGGGGCATGGATAAAATGGGAGACGCCATCTGCTGTTGGGGATCTGGGCTCAGAACAGAAAAGGCCTATGGCTTTGTGAGGCCTTCCCCGCATGGACGTGGGCCCAAGCCCCTCAGACTAGACCCTGGAAGTCCCTGAGGCTGCCGCCCTGCTGGAGCAGCAGGACAGATATTGCTGATGGCCCACACCGTTCTGGGGAGAGAAGTGAAGCGGCTGATTGGCTCTCCATAGAGCTGGCTGCTGGTCTATATCCGTGGCTAGGGTGATACACCCATTATGATACACCCATTATATACACATGCCCTTATAGATGTTTCTATAAGTACACCCATGGGTTACTAAGGGTGGAGTTGTCAACTCTGTCAGTTGGCAGGACCTGCTGGATGGTGAAGGCTCTGGCGTCCTTTTGATGCCTCCTGTCTGAGGGCATCACATCTTTGGGAGCCCACGCCTCTGAGAGCAGCAAGAGCGGGGCCGGACTGGGGCAAGCAACCAGGTTCCTCTCTGGGCTCTGGGCCAGGACCTGCTGAGCTTCTGAAAGGGATGTACCGTGCCGTAAAGCTGCTGTATCCTGAGGGGCCCCAGACCCTGGGAACTCTGGGGCTGGTGCAGCCAGGGACAGGGCCATCCCAGCAGGCCAAACATAGGCTACAGTGGACTCACCTGTCTCTTCTTGGAGCAAGGATCAGAGATCCACTCATGTGGGCTCAAGTCAGAGGTGGGAGTGACAGCAAGGGTGAGGGTGGCAGAGATGGGCACAAGGGTCCCACAGCAACCACAGGGTTGACACCAAGAACCCCAACTACAATGATCTCAGGGCCTGCACAGATTTAGACACCATCTCATTGAACCTAGAACTTCCCTCTGAGATGGCCGCTGTGACTATCTCCATTTCATACACAGGAAGCGGAGGCCCAGCAACATGAAGTCCCTCACCCAGGTCACACAGCTGGTCGGGAAGGGCACGGGAACCTGGGCATAGATGATTCTGGAGCTATTGGAGTTGGGATGTTGTTTGGCTCCATGACACTCTGGGGTCTGTTTCCGTCTGTGTTTGTCCCCTTTTTGTTTTCTTGCTTTGCCTAATCTTTTGATCCCAGCTTCCTTCACTTCACTCTGACCCCTAAGTGTGACCAGGACGGGCTCACCTAATCTTTCAAAACCATCTTTCAGAACACTTCTTAGGGGCCTGGTCCTCTAGGAACCAGGGGTTCTTGAATTAGCGGCCTGCCTTTTGTTCATTCAGCTGTGGGCGACAGTAGGCATGGTCTGGGTGGGCAGGCAGCCTATTTGCATGGTCACCTTAGCTGGCAATCAGGGATGACTTTCTGGAGGAGGGTGGGCTCTGGGAGCGGGTTGGAGCTTGGGTGGAGGAGGGAAGGAGTAAACAGAGCTGAGGATGAGGCTGGTGAAAAGTAGGCATTGAGAGGGTCCAGAGGTGGGCACTGCCACTGTGGGGTCTAGGGCAAGGGAAACTAGTGGAGAAGGTGGCATCTTACCGGCGTTGATCCCCAGGCCTGCAGGATGACAAGGATCTGCAGGCCCTGCTGAAGGGCAGCCAGCTGCTGAAGGTGAAGTCCAGCTCATGGCGGAGAGAGCGCTTCTACAAGTTGCAGGAGGACTGCAAAACCATCTGGCAGGAGTCCCGCAAGGTCATGCGGACCCCAGAGTCCCAGCTGTGTGAGTACCCTGGTGTCACAGGGGAGGGGGCAGAGTGCAGAATCTGGCCAGGGCCGGGCAAGTGTGGACGTCGGTCACAGATCAAAACCACAGATGGGGAAACTGAGGCTGGCCTGGTGGGGCATAGCTCATTTATACAACCAGGGCTAGCAATGGGGAAACTGAGGTTGGCTGTGGTCGGGGAGCGGAGCCAGTTAAATTACCTGTTGGGAAATCGAAGCCTAGTCTGGGTTGGAGAGGGCAGACATGGAACAAGGACCACAGCTTTTGAGGGATGGGAACATTTAACCATGACCACAGAGGACGGCCAGGCTCAGAAGCAGGGACGGAGCTGGACGGCATTGCCTGGACTCATAGGCCTCCACCCACACATTTGTAAGAAGGAGGGAAATTGGGCGGATTGGGACTCCAGGTGTGGTGAAGGCAAAAGCCAGGCCCAAGGTCCAGGCAGATAAGGTACTTCCAGGTTTGAGTGGCCAGGGTGGGAGGTGGGGCTGCAGGAGGCAGCTCCTCCCTGGGACTGGAGCCACAGGAGGGGTGTTAGGGCAGAGCAGGACTGGGACACGCAGAGGCTGCTGTTGGGGAGCCCTCGTGTGTCTGAGGGCTTTCTGGAAGCTTCTAAAAAGGCCGAGGAACCCAAGTTCTCAGGCCACAAATGGAGAGAGCCTTCTGCAAGGCCTCCGGGAGAAGGAGGTTCTGCTCACTTCTGCCCTTTAAGGGAGAGAATTCCTTAAAGATCCTGTAAAATGAGATGTCTTCCTCTGCACCTTTACTTGGTGGGGACACTTTAGACCAATGCTGTGCAGCGGAACAGGGACGGAGATGCTGTGTATGTGGACTGTCCAGCAGGGAGCCGCCAGCCACTTGTCACTGTTGAGACCCTGAAATGTGGCTAGTGTGACTGCTGAACTGAACTCTTTTTTTTTTTAAGGAGGAAGGCAGGCAGGCAGGCTGAATTGAATTCTTTTTTTTTTTTTTTTTGAGACGATATTTCGCTCTTGTCACCCAGGCTGGAGTGCAATGGCGCGATCTCGGCTCACCGCAACCTCCGCCTCCTGGGTTCAAGCAATTCTCCTGCCTCAGCCTCCTGAGTAGCTGGGACGACAGGCACTCACCACCTTGCCCAGCTAATTTTTGTATTTTTAGTAGAAACGGGGTTTCACCATGTTGACCAGGATGGTCTCGATCTCTTGACCTCGTGATATACCTGCCTCGGCCTCCCAAAGTGCTGGGATTACAGGCTTGAGCCACCGCCGGGCCCCCTGAATTGAATTCTTAATCTTAATTGTAACTAATTTATATTTAAATGGCCCCAGGTGGTTAGTGGTTACCGAATTGGCCAGCGTGTGAAGATGACTGCAGCTTGGGTTTCACACAGTTGGGACTCCTGGAGACCCCTTGTCCATTGTCCAGCCCTTGGCTGGGGTGGGGTGGGGAGACAGGGACAGGTCTATGAGTGAGACTGGACATGGGTGATGAGGGAAGGTAGGAGGAGGGAGGATCCCCTACCAAGGGTGCCCCAGGAGGGTACCTTTCACCCAGGAAGGGTCTGCCAGGCCTCAGGCCACTGGACAGGACCCTGAGAAGGTATGGTCTGCCAGCCTGTGACCTGTGCAAGGGCGGAAGGAAGTCAGGACAGGAGCAGGGTCAGGGGCAGAGAGCCGGCTGGGTCCTTGGGGCTATGAGCTGTGGAAGGTTTGTGAGCAGGGCAGGGCAGGGTTCGAGCGGTCGGGGCTCTAGGGCATTCTGAGAACACCATGGAGCCCCAGCTCCGCCTGCTGCCACACAGTACAGGAGTGACCGCCTGACTTCTCTCTGTCTGTGGCGCCAAACGGGCTCCTTCATGGGCCTCTTGTCCTGGTGCAGGGTTTCCTGTTAGATGCTGGTGGGCGGGGCACAGTGAGAATGCAGATCTTACACTCCGAGCCCTGGGGATTCCTGGGAGCCCACCTAGCTACCCATACGTGTGCATGGCTCCCAGTGCGCGCCTAGCTCTTGGGAAGCGTGAGGGGGAGACAGAGGAGTGGGAGACCCAGGCCTTCCCTGCAGGAACGTTTGGGCTGATGAGAGGAGGCCTTTGTGCTGGACAGCTTTGACCAGGTGGGCAGGAGGCCCAGTGTGAGCCGAGGTGCAGGGTGAGGAGGAGGCTGAGGGGCTGCAGGGGCCGGGTGCGGGGTGAGGAGCCAGGTGTGCGCAGGTGCGGAGCAAGGCCTTAGGGCCTTTCTGCCATCCGGACCCCTGCGATGCTGAGCGGGGTACCTCGTGCTGAGCCTGCCTTGTTGGCTGCCTCCCTTCTCTGGGTGAGCAGTGAGACCCTTGTCTTCAATTGCTCTTACCCTCCGGGAAACAGAGGCCAGGTGAGGGAGGCCTGGAATAGCCTCCCCTTCTGCCCTGTTTTTTTTTTTTTTTTTGGCTCTGCTTCCTGCTTTTTAAGACTCCCCCAATCCTGCCACTACTACCCACCCGCATAACTCTGGTTCCCAGAGGCCAAGGTGTTATCAGCAGTGAAGGCATCTGGACTTTCTCTCTGGTGCAGGTGAGGGTGCTGGCCTTGGGGGGTTCCATAGCTCAGGCTTCCTGTTTTTATTCCTGACCCGGGCAGCTGCAGCTGTACCCTGTGTGGGGCCGTGTGGGTCACCAGGGGCTGCAGGCAGGGGATTAAGCAGTGCTGTCCTCTGTCTTCCAGATGGCCCTGGGCTCACGTGTCCCACTCTGGCCCAGGCTGGCACATGCCACACATGCATATGGGCCCTGCAGGTTGCTAGGAGGCCCCTGAGCACTCAGGGTGGGTGGGCACAGGGAGGGACAGGTGGACTTGAGCTAGAACCATCCAGGAGCCAGAACAGATGGATGAGGATGGGCAGGAGAGGGTGTGATGGGGTGGAGCCTGGTCCTGCTCCTGGGAGCCACAGCATGAGCCTGGCTAGAGGCACTGGCTCCTGGGCAGGCCACGGAGGGCACATTGGAAGCGATAGGTGGGGCCTGGTATCTTCCTGAAGCTTGAAAGGCTGGGCTGTGAGGGGAGGGCCCTCCCCTTGGCTCCTAAGGGCAGAATGATGTCATCTCTCAGAGCCCTGCAGGGTACCCTCCCGTTTGCCTCTTGGGGCTGGGGGAGGCAGAAGCTTCTTGTACCCGCTGCCAAGGGGCTCCCTGAAGTCAGGACACACACAGCTGCACACAGGGCAGGACCCTGTCTCCCTTTCAGGCAGGGCTTCTCCCTCTGTCTTTGGCCCTCTGCCCATAGACCCCAGGGCCGGGGCTAACTCAGGGTGGTCACAGTCTCTTGAATGTTTGGAAGGGGGTCCTGGTGGCTCTGTGGCTTTGTGGGGGCAGGACAGACCCAAAGTTCAGTGCCGTCAGAGGGTTTGTGGCCTTCCCCGTTATGGGCCCCACACTCCAGAGTGATCTCCGTACCTCTCGAGCCCTGCCCTGCCCCAGTCCTCTCCCTGGGCCCCTGCACCCCCCATCACCAAGACAGCGGGCCTGGGGTCCCAGGTGCCCTTTCCACCCTAAAATCTGTCTGTCTTTCACTCTCTGTCTCTCCCTGTGTCTCATGCTCTGCCTCCCCCAGTTTCTGTCTTCCTCTCCCCTGTTTGTCCCCCACTGTCTGACCTCCTGCTCCTCTCCTGTCCATCTGGACTCAAGGCCTGAGCTCCGGCCCTGGCTCTGTCTCCCAGCTGTGCCCCTCTCCACAGTGGCCTTGGCCATGTCGGGGTCAGGGATTGACCTCACAGCATTCCCTCCCTCTCTCCCCCGTCCCGCCCTCGCAGTCTCCATCGAGGACATTCAGGAGGTGCGAATGGGGCACCGCACAGAGGGTCTGGAGAAGTTCGCCCGTGACGTGCCCGAGGACCGCTGCTTCTCCATCGTCTTCAAGGACCAGCGCAATACGCTAGACCTCATCGCCCCGTCACCAGCGGACGCCCAGCACTGGGTGCTGGGGCTGCGCAAGATCATCCACCACTCGGGCTCCATGGACCAGCGGCAGAAGCTTCAGCAGTATCCTTCTGGTGGCAGCGGGTCCAGGCCTGGCTTGTGGTTAGCCCAGGGCAACCTGGGTAGGAAAGTGGTTTAGTTACTTTGGGTTGCCATAACAAAATACCATAAACTGGGTGGTTTAAACAACAGAAATTAATTTTCTCATGGTTTGGAGGCTGAAAGTCCAAGGTCAGGGTGCCAGTGTGGTCGGAGCCTGCTGAGGGCTGTCTCCTTTGCTGACTGTCTTCTTGCTGTGTCCTCACATGGTGGGGGAACACAGAGAGAGAGCAGTTTCTCCGTCGTCTCTTCTTGTAAGGGTGCTAATCCAATGGGGAGGGCCTCACCCTCCTGAACTCATGTAAACCAAATTATCTTCCAAAGCCTCGCCTCCAGATAGCATCACATTGGGTGTTAGGGCTTCAACATATAAATTTTGGCGGGTTGTCGAGGGGTATGCAATTCAGTGGAGAAGCGGGGAAGGTACATGAAGCCCTCTTTGGTCTAGTCTGACCCTAGTGCCAACAGCTGTGTTGTTCCCTGATACACCCTGCATCCCCCTCTGTCCCCAGCATGGAGTTGGGAGTCTGGGGAGCCTGACAGAGCAGTCTGCTGCAATGGGAGACCAGTCTTGGGATTTTAATCATTTTTTTTTATTCCTCTATCCCCCCGCCCCCGCCTTAATCATGTTTTCTGGAGTTACTACACGATTTCCTCTGGGAGTTGGGAGGCCATGGTGCCTTCCTGTGCCATTCTTTGGGGAGTGATCAGGTACCCCAAGTCTGGTGTGTAGGCCAGCCTGTGGGCTTAAAACAGATTAACTTCAACCTTTAGTTACACAGTGCCACCCTGGCATGTGATTCAACGTGGTCAGGCTTCTGGCATGGACGGATTAGGGTGGAGCCAGCTCTCTCCATTTTTTATGGCAGCTTTATTGAGGTATAATTCACATACCCTATGATTACCCCATTTAAAGTGTGGAACCAGCCGGGCGTGGTGGCTCAAGCCTGTAATCCCAGCACTTTGGGAGGCCGAGGCGGGTGGATCACGAGGTCGAGAGATCGAGACCATCCTGGTCAATATGGTGAAACCCCGTCTCTACTAAAAATACAAAAAATTAGCTGGGCATGGTGGCACGTGCCTGTAATCCCAGCTACTCAGGAGGCTGAGGCAGGAGAATTGCTTGAACCCAGGAGGCGGAGGTTGCGGTGAGCCGAGATCGCGCCATTGCACTCCAGCCTGGGTAACAAGAGCGAAACTCCGTCTCAAAAAAAAAAAATAAATAAAGTGTGGAACCTGATTGAGGGCTTTTTAGTATATTCAGAGTTGCGCAGCTGTCACCACAATCAATTTTCGTGCATTTCCGTCACCCCAGAAAGAAACCCTGCACCCCTGGCAGTCACTCCCCACCTCCCCTCGACCCCCAGCCCCAACCGTCTGCTTGTCTACACTTCCTGCCTTTATACCTTTGCCTGCCCTGGGCATGTCGCAGAAACGGAATCACGGAGTCTTTTGTGACTGGCTTCTTTCACTTAGCATGATGTTTGCGTGTTCATTCATGTCGCAGCTGTCAGTACTTCATTCCTTCTAATTGTCTAGTCATATTCTGCTGTATGGATAGACCACGTTTTATTTATCGCCTCACCAGGTGGTGGACATTTAGATTGCTTCTGCTTTTGGGCTTTGATGAAGAATGCTGGTATTAACCTTCCTGTGTAAGTTTTGGTGTGTTTATGTGTCTTCATTTCTCTTGGAGTAGAACTGCTGGGTCACATGGTAACTATGTTTAACCTTTTGAGAAACTGCCAAACCGTTTTCCCACCAGGCTACACCAATTTACACTCCCACCAGCAGTCAATGACTGTTTCCGTTTTCTATGTCCTTGATATGACATCTGTCCTTTTGATTATGGATACCCTTGTGGGTATGAAGTGGTGTTTTATTGTGATTTTGATTTGCACTTCCCTAATGATTCATGATATTGAGCATTTTTTTCATGTACATTTATGTATCTTCTTTGGAGAAATATCTATTCAGGTCCTTTGCCCATTTTTGGATCATTTGTCTTTTTATTATTGAGTTGTTAAGAGCTCTTTATATATTCTAGATACAAGTCTTTTATGAGATTTATGCTTGCAAATAATTTGTCCATTCTGTGGGGTGTCTCTTTCTTGATGGGTCTTTTTTTAGGCTAGAAAAGTGAAACAGTGAGAGTGAGGAAGGAACAAAGAAATCTGGAGCCAACTGTGAACGATTAGTTGTAAACATCCTGCACTCAGACCAGCCTCTTGATATTCTTTGAAGCACAAAAGTTTTTTATTTTGATGAAGCATAATTCATATACTTTGTTAATGTTGTTTTTTAGCATCATATCTAGGAAGGCTTTGGCTAATCCAAAGGGCTGGGGTTCCAGCAGTGAGCCCTGCACCTGGCCTGAATTCTCAGTTTTAGTCTGTGGTCTGTATGTCTGTTCACCACTACCACCATGTTTTGGTTTCTGTAAGTTTGTAGTAAGTTTTGAAATCAGGAAGTGTGAGTTCTCCAAATTTGTTTGTTCTTTTGTTTTTTGTTTTTTCCAATATCGCTTTAGCTATTCTGGGTCCCTAAAATTTCTATATGAATTTTAGGATTAGCTTGTTAGTTTCTGCAAAGATGCCAGCAGAATTTTGATGGGGATTGTACTGGATGTGGAGATCAATTTGGAGCATATTTCCAGTTTAATAATGGCAAGTTTCTGATCCATGAGCATGTAACATCTTTCCATTTATTTATATCTTCTTTTTTTTCAACAGTGCCTTATGGTTTTCCAGGTTTTATACCTAAACGATTTCTTTAAAAGCATTTTATTCACTTTGTTGCTACTGTAAATGGAATTTTTTTTTTTTTTTTTTTTTTTTTTTTGAGACAGAGTTTCCCTCTTGTTACCCAGGCTGGAGTGCAATGGCGCGATCTCGGCTCACCGCAACCTCCGCCTCCTGGGTTCAGGCAATTCTCCTGCCTCAGCCTCCTGAGTGGGTGGGATTACAGGCACGCGCCACCATGCCCAGCTAATTTTTTGTATTTTTTTTTTTAGTAGAGACGGGGTTTCACCATGTTGACCAGGACGGTCTCGATCTCTCGACCTCGTGATCCACCCGCCTCGGCCTCCCAAAGTGCTGGGATTACAGGCTTGAGCCACCGCGCCCGGCCGGAATTGTTTTCTTAATTTCACTTTCAAATTTTTCATTGCTGGTGTATATCCACTCCTTAGGGGACACATTTGGAGCCCTGTTAATTTCCTTTTCTGTGTTTTTGAGCACTTGGAAGACTTTTAAGTGTTGCTTCTCAATGCCACATCTGCCTTATTGTGAGCTTTTTAAAAAGCCCAGTTCTGTGGCATTTTTGTCATAGCCACGCCTTTGGCAGAGTGTTGACCTTGGACAATCTCATGCCCTCTGCAGAGTCCTGCTGCCCAGACCTTAAGATCAAAAAGCCATTCCACCTGCTGATTAGCCTTCAGCACACGAATCTTGTGCTTGGCTGGACCATTCTGAACTTGATTTTTTTCACCTGGCTTTCTGTCGTGATGATTCTTTTCCACTTATTTTTTTTTTTTTTTTTTTTTTTGAGACGGAGTTTCGCTCTTGTTACCCAGGCTGGAGTGCAATGGCGCGATCTCGGCTCACCGCAACCTCCGCCTCCTGGGTTCAGGCAATTCTCCTGCCTCAGCCTCCTGAGTAGCTGGGATTACAGGCACGTGCCACCATGCCCAGCTAATTTTTTGCACTTTTAGTAGAGACGGGGTTTCACCATGTTGACCAGGATGGTCTCGATCTCTCGACCTCGTGATCCACCCGCCTCGGCCTCCCAAAGTGCTGGGATTACAGGCTTGAGCCACCGCGCCCGGCCACCTTCTTTTCCACTTATATATCAAATTTGGAAAACATATATACGTTAGAATGAAGTTATAAAACTCCACCTCTTCCAGAAGCTTCGATATTTGCATTTTCCTTCTAATATTTTTTCTGTAATTTATTTGTGTGTTTTTTTGAGACAGGGTCTCGCTCTCTTGCCCAGGCTGGAGTGTAGTGGCATGATTACCGCTCACTGCAGCCTCAAACAATCCTCCCTCCTCAGTCTCCCAAGTACCTGGGACTACAGGTGCATGCTACTATGCCTGGCTAATTTTTGTATTTTTTGTAGAGATGGGGTTTTGCCACATTGCCCAGACTTGTCTCAAACTCCTGAGCTCAAGCGATCCACCTGCCTCAGCCTCTGAAAGTACTAGAACTAGAGGCGTGAGCCACCGAGCCCAGCCTTTTGGCATTTTAATTTGCCTAATGATGCATCTGCCAAAAATAGTGGAAGTCATACATTCGTAGTCATTGTCTATGTAACATATCATAATTATTTCCATAAACAGCTTTAATGACTATATAATGTTCCACTGAGTGTATGCACTATAAATTAGTGATCTGTTTCTTTTTTTTTTTTTGAGATGGAGTCTCGCTCTGTCACCAGGCTGGAGTGCAGTGACGTGATCTCAGCCCACTGCAATCTCCGACTCCCTGGTTAAGTGATTTTCCTGCCTCATCCTCCCTAGTAGCTAGGATTACAGGTGCACGCCACCATGCCCAGCTAATTTTTGTATTTTTAGTAGAGACAGGGTTTCACCATGTTGGCCAGGATGGTCTCGGATCTCCTGACCTCATGATTCACCTGCCTCAACCTCCCAAAGTGTTAGGATTGCAGGCGTGAGCCATGCTGCATGGCTGATCCATGTCTTCAGTGTTGGATATTTATTATTTTATATTATATGTTGGAAACCAGCCCCGGTGGCCCACATCAGTAATCTCAGCACTTGGGAGGCCAAAGCAGAGGATTGCTTGGGCCTAGGACTTTGAGACTAGCCACCTGGGCAACATAGGGAGACCCTGTCTCTACCAAAAAAAAAAAAGCCAGGCGTGGTGATATGGTGCACACCTGTAGTGGGAGAATCACTTGAGCCTCAGAGGTCAAGGCTGCAATGAGCTGTGATTGTGCCATTGCACTCCAACCTGGAGGACCGAGTGAGATCTCACCATAAAACAAAAAAGAGAGAGAAAGGATATCACTTATCCTGAGGTGACAGACTATGGGGGATCTGTTTGCTTGTTTACTTTTCTGCATTTTCTAAATTGTCTACAGTGGACCCTTTTTTAGCAAGAAAAGAACTGTTTTTAAAAATTTGAAAGGTTTGGCTGGGCGCAGTGGCTCACACCTGTAATTCCAGCACTCTGGGAGGCTGAGTTTGGTGGATCACCTGAGGTCAGGAGTTCGAGACCAGCCTGGCCAACATGGTGAAATACCATCTCTAATAAAAATACAAAAAATTAGCTGGGCGTGGTGGCGGGCATCTGTGATCCCAGCTACTCAGGAGCTGAGACAGGAGAATCACTTGAACCCAGGAGGCAGAGGTTGGAGTGAGCTGAGATCACACCAGTGCACTCCAGCCTGAGCGACAGTGCCAGGCTCCGTCTCAAAAAATAAAATAAAATAAAATAAAAAAATCAAAAGATTTAAAAAAACAGCAAATAGGAAAAACCCCTTAATGGGATGTAACGTTTTCCTCTGAAGAGGCCACTGAAACATGGATGTGTCAGCCGGGCGCGGTGGCTCAAGCCTGTAATCCCAGCACTTTGGGAGGCCGAGGCGGGTGGATCACGAGGTCAAGAGATCGAGACCATCCTGGTCAACCTGGTGAAACCCCGTCTCTACTAAAGATACAAAAAATTAGATGGCCATGGTGGCGTGTGCCTGTAATCCCAGCTACTCAGGAGGCTGAGGCAGGAGAATTGCTTGAACCCAGGAGGCGGAGGTTGCGGTGAGCCGTGATCGCGCCATTGCACTCCAGCCTGGGTAACAAGAGTGGAACTCCGTCTCAAAAAAAAAAAAAAAAAGAAAGAAAGAAACATGGATGTGTCGTAGGTCAGGCTGCAGGGAGCTGTGGCTATAGGTAGCTTCAGATAGAACCATCTGTGGCTCTGGCTGCAACCTTGGCGGGTTCCAGGATTCCTGGGTTCTTTCCTTACTTCTTGCCCAGTTGGATTCACTCCTGCTTGCGAAAAGCTGACAAAAACAAGGACAACAAGATGAGCTTCAAGGAGCTGCAGAACTTCCTGAAGGAGCTCAACATCCAGGTGGACGACAGCTATGCCCGGAAGATCTTCATGGTGAGGCAGGAGTGGGGGCGGGGGCTGCCTGCCCATGGGACCCTTGCTGGCCCCAGGCCTGCTCTGAGCCCAGCCGACTGTCTTGGCTCTGCAGGAGTGTGACCGCTCCCAGACAGACTCCCTGGAGGACGAGGAGATCGAGGCCTTCTACAAGATGCTGACCCAGCGGGCGGAGATCGACTGCACTTTCGCAGAGGCCTCGGGCTCAGGGGAGACTCTGTCGGTGGATCAGTTAGTGGCGTTCCTGAGGCACCAGCAGCGGGAGGAGGCGGCGGGGCCGGAGCTGGCTCTCTCCCTCATTGAGCGCTATGAGCCCAGCAAGACTGGTGAGAGCAGTTGTGGGGCGGCCCGCACTGGGCCTGGGCCGGGAGACCCCTGGGGAGACTGCAGACAGAAAGGAGGGAGCGGGGGAAGGGGCTCAGCCAGCCCCGGCCCCTGCTCAGCCCTTGCCTGTCCCATGACAGCCAGCAGATGAGAGACATGACCCCGGCATCCCCGCCCTTCTCTGGTTCTCTTTACCTCTTGGCACCTCCTTCAGGGGGCTTTGAGGACCCTTCTTCAGGAAACGAGAGAGGCAGCTGAAAAGCAGATGTCATTCCTGTTTCCTTTTCTGTGCTCATTCTGGGCCCAGCTTTGAGATATACCAGAGCAGAGAAGACGGGGCCCTGCTCTGGAGCTCCAGTCTGGGGGTACGAAAGAGGGGGAGATGACACTGTCCTCAGGGGCCTTAGAGTGTGCAGACAGGGGAGGAGGGGGAGACAGGGCCCCACTCTGGAGTAGCCACAGTCGGGTCTTGAGCCGCAGACTTACCCTAATTCCAAGAGCTCTGGAAGACTGGCTCAGACCAGGCAGGCGAGCGGGGTCAGAGGGCTCCTCCGTCCAGATAGGTGGGCACCCAGGAGGGCCTGCTGGAGGCTGGCTCTGACTGGCAGTGGCCTCTTCCCTCCCAGCCAAGGCCCAGCGGCAGATGACCAAGGACGGCTTCCTCATGTACCTACTATCAGCCGACGGCAGCGCCTTCAGCCTGGCACACCGCCATGTCTACCAGGACATGGGCCAGCCGCTCAGCCACTACCTGGTGTCCTCTTCGCACAACACCTACCTGCTAGAGGACCAGCTCACCGGGCCCAGCAGCACTGAGGCCTACATCCGGTGCTGCCCAGGGAAGCCTTGGGGCGGGAGTCTGGGTGGACCCAGGACGGGACCTGGAGGGTCCTAGCCGCCACCCTCCCCATAGGGCACTGTGCAAAGGCTGCCGCTGCCTGGAACTGGACTGCTGGGACGGGCCCAACCAGGAGCCCATCATCTACCACGGCTACACTTTCACTTCCAAGATCCTCTTCTGCGACGTGCTCAGGGCCATCCGGGACTACGCCTTCAAGGTGGGCGCGCCACTCACTGGCGAGGAGTGGGCTGCTAGGGGTGGCCAGCCCTCCTAATGTGCCCTTGGGCCTCCAGGCGTCCCCCTACCCCGTCATCCTGTCCCTGGAGAACCACTGCACCCTGGAGCAGCAGCGCGTGATGGCCCGGCACCTGCACGGCATCCTGGGCCCCATGCTGCTGAACCGACCGCTGGATGGGGTCACCAACAGCCTGCCCTCCCCCGAGGTGTGTGGTGGGGAAGGGGGCGCCCGGGGGGAGGGCAGGGAGCCTGGCCAAGAGGACAGGTATGTCTTGACCAGTTGCCCCTCCACCCCTAGCAACTGAAGGGGAAGATCCTGCTGAAGGGGAAGAAGCTGGGGGGCCTCCTGCCCCCTGGTGGGGAGGGTGGCCCTGAGGCCCCTGTGGTGTCAGACGAAGATGAGGCTGCCGAGATGGAGGATGAGGCAGTGAGGAGCCGCGTGCAGCACAAGCCCAAGGTTGGAGGGGGAGCTGTGGGGCGGGGCAGCCAGGCCTCCCCGCTCCCCTGGGAGGTCTGCCTTGACTCAGTTCTCTGTGCCTGCCACTCAGACCCTCTGCCCCACTCTCTCTGTCTGTCTCCCTCTGTCTCTCTGTACCTGGGTTTCTGGCTTTCTCAGTGCCTATCCTGCCCCAACCTCTGAATCTAACCCGGGCCTCCCCATGGCCCCCAGGAGGACAAGCTCAGGCTAGCGCAGGAGCTCTCTGACATGGTCATTTACTGCAAGAGCGTCCACTTTGGGAGCTTCTCCAGTCCTGGCACCCCTGGGCAGGCCTTCTACGAGATGGCATCCTTCTCTGAGAACCGTGCCCTTCGACTGCTCCAAGAATCAGGTGAGGCCTGGCCTCATCCCCTTCCCTGCTCTGCCAGAGAACTGGCAGGGCAGGGCTCGGCCTCACCAGGAGGCCACCACTGCCAACTGAGCCACAGCTCCCCTCAGGAAACAGCTTCGTCCGCCACAACGTGGGGCACCTGAGCAGAATCTACCCGGCCGGATGGAGGACAGACTCCTCCAACTACAGTCCCGTGGACATGTGGAACGGGGGCTGCCAAATCGGTATGGGCCGGCGGGGCTGGAGGAGGCTGGGAGGAGGGTTTCAGTCCCGAGGCCTGGAGCCTCGAAGGCCATGCAGTGGAGCTCTGAGGACCAAGCATGGTCAAGTGCAGGGCCTTGTGGAGCTGCTACCATTAGTCTGGAAATACCTGCCCACCAGCAAGTGAGTGTCTGAAACCTCATTAGCACACGAGCCCTTTGAGTTCTGACACCAGAAAGGGAAGGGGTGGTTAGCGTGATGGGTCACTGAGGGTGGCAGGAGGGCAGCAGGCATTGGCGTGATTTATCTCACTGTGACCCTAGGCCTCAGTGTTCCTGAGCAGGCTGTGCTCTAGGGCTGCAGGGCCAGCCCACAGCCTGCAACTGCTCTGTCCTGCCTGCAGTGGCCCTGAACTTCCAGACACCTGGGCCGGAGATGGATGTGTACCAGGGCCGTTTCCAGGACAACGGGGCCTGTGGGTACGTGCTGAAGCCCGCCTTTCTGCGAGACCCCAACACCACCTTCAACCCCCGCGCCCTGGCTCAGGGGCCCTGGTGGGCTCGGAAGCGGCTCAACATCAGGGTACGCCGGACCCAGGAGGGACAAGTGCCCATGGGCCCCCTTCCCCTCACCGTGGCTCCTGAACTGTCCATGGTCCCCTGCCTTTCCTCAGGTCATCTCGGGGCAGCAACTGCCAAAAGTCAACAAGAATAAGAATTCAATCGTGGACCCCAAGGTGACGGTGGAGATCCACGGCGTGAGCCGGGACGTGGCCAGCCGCCAGACGGCTGTCATCACCAACAATGGTAGGTGCCGGCCCAGGTCGGGCCGCTGGGGCTGCTGTCCATGCTGTTGATATGGTGCCTGTCCTCTCCTAGGTTTCAACCCATGGTGGGACACGGAGTTTGCATTTGAGGTAGTTGTGCCTGACCTTGCCCTCGTCCGCTTCGTAGTGGAGGATTACGACGCCTCCTCCAAGAACGACTTCATTGGCCAGAGTACCATCCCCTTGAACAGCCTCAAGCAAGGTGAGTGTCAAGAGGAGGGGACGGGCAGGTGGTGGAAAGCAGGGCCTGGCATCTCTTGGGCTAGGGCTGGCTGTCCCTTGAAGCATTCCCCAGAGTGACCAGACCTTGGTGTTCCCTCCTGCCTGTCCACCCGCCAGGTTACCGCCATGTCCACCTCTTGTCTAAGAATGGGGACCAGCATCCATCAGCTACCCTCTTTGTGAAGATCTCCCTCCAGGACTAGACTGGGGGAAGCCACTGGGGTCCACACGAGGGCCAGGGCTGGCTGTTCCCAGCCTCTTGCTCAGAGCTAGGCCCCCAAACTGCCTTCAGCTCTAACGTAGTGTCTGCTGCTGCCTCCTTGGGGACTGGAGCTGTCCTTCATTCCGTTAGGGACAACATTGCAGCCTTCCCACCCTCCGGCTGGCTCATGGTCCAGGGTTTTTATAAAAATCACGATGAGATTAAGCCTTGTGGTCTCTTTACCTGGATGCCAGAAAATCCCCTGTAAAGTGTACGTGTCTGTGGCCCCCATGTTGAGTGCTGGAGCCCCAGCACCTCACTCTCTACGATGAGTGGGGTAGTGGGTATCTGGAGACACCACCGAGAAACAAATCCCTCTGAAGGGCGGCACCAAGAGCTCACACCTGCCAGCCCTGGAGGCCCTTTCCCCCGAGACATAGACCTGCTGAGTGGCCCCGGCTGGAAAAAACACATACCACAGCCTGTATGGACGGCCCGTTTTTACTGACAAGCAAAGGATGAGCAGAAGCCTCGGAGGGGCGTGGGAGCAGGGCGTCCCCAGCATTGTAGGTATGTTGGGGTGGGGGGCCTGGCCTCAGAAGAAGCCCAGCTGCTTTTTCTCCTGCCGCTGTCTCCATATGGCCATGCTGTAGAATTCCTCCTTGGATTTCCCAAAGATATCTTGGAAGTCAGAGTCTGAGAGATAGAACTGGGGGAGGCAGAGGGGAGGGTGTCACCCAGGGGAGCTGCCTACCACCTCAGGTTCCTCCAGCTCAGTGGCAGATGCACCAGTGCTGGGGCAGTGAGGGGTGGGAGTCTCAGGTGCCTACCTCCCTGCGGGCAGGGTCGACGCCCTCTGGCAGGTCCTCAGCGGCCTGGTGCATCAGTTGCTCCCGGGGCAGGGCCCCGTTCATTGAGGCGCTGGTGCTGCTGACGCCCCCCGACTTGGGGCCCCGCATCAGCTCATTCTCTGAGCTGTCCTGGGAGCCCTTGAGGGCCTGCAGGGCTATGGCACCTGCCCTGCCATTGTCTGGCCCTTTGGATAGCCGGAAGCTGTTGACTTGCTGTCAAGAGAGGAGCCTCAGGCTGGGGAAGATGGGGACTTGGTAGCCCACAGGGAGGCTGCACTGAACCCACAGGCCTTTCCCCTCCCTCTGCAGCCCCTCCCACCTACCAGGGCCTGGCACTTCCCCTGCCCATCAGGACCATGCTGTCAGGGCCCAGGCCCCCGTGGGGAAGCCTGGGGCCCCAGGACTCACTGCCGTTATCTCAGCGATGGGCAATGCTGTTCCCGGGCTGCCCTCCACCACTTCCTTGTGGGATGGGTCGTGCTAGAGCAAGAATCGGGGCAGGAGGAGGGGGCACCAGTGGGACTCAGGAGGGGCCTGAGGACAAGACCAGGTCTCTCGTGCACACTGGCAAGCCCCAGCCCGAGCAGTGCTGCCTCCTCCCCTCAGCCCAGGTCCGGCCCCTCTCCCCCCAAATCAGAGGAGGGCTAGGGTTTTCAGGTCTCACTCACAGTCCACTTGAAGGGGTCCCAAGTGAAGAACCAGCCAGTGAAGGTGGGAGGCTCGTGGCCCTGCTTGACCAGCACGATGGGTGTGGCCAGGCTCCTCCCTGCTGGGTGTGCCTTCAGGTACTCCTGGCCCCAGGCCACCGCCTTCTTCCATGCACCTGCAGCTGCCCCAAGCCACAGGAAGATCTGGGCCACAGAGGGGGCCTGACTTTTGGCATGGAGGGCTGCCCAGAGCTGACCCCTTCCTGTCCATCAGACGGCCCAGACAGAACCCCACATACACATCCCTGTCCATCCAGACCCACCCAGCAAGTGGCCCCCCTGCCACACTTTGAACACACGAGACGGTCGTGGGAATGCATGCATGCACACGTTCAATTCGCAAACTTTTCTTGTGTGATTTACCTGGAGATCAATCTACAAATATTTATAAAGCACCTACTGTGTGCCGAGCATCGGTCTAGGCTTTGGGGATTCAACAATGAAAGAAAATGGACAAAAATCCCTGCCCTTCTAGAGCTTTTGTGAGGGAGCACATCACGTGTATGCCTGGGGAACAGTATAAATAAAAGCCCCAAGGTGGCCGCATGCTGGCACACTCAGGAAACACAAGGAGGCCACTGTGGCTGCCGCAGAAGCAGGGAGGCGGGAGGGGGAGGAAAGGGGGTCAAAGAGTTGGGGCTGGCCAGGTCACACAGGGCTGGGGTAAGGGCTCTGAGTTTGTTCTGAGTGAGATGGGAGCACACAGCTTCACCAATTCAAACAGTGCTGGGGACACACACTCATCCACTGCCACACACTGTCATCCACTGTTGTCAGACACAGCTGCACACAAACACAACAGCACTGTTTGCACAGCCCCACAAACAGCCTTCCGTCACTCAGCCACAGCTGGTCACAGTCTCTCACACAAGCACGCTCACCAGTTGCCACTGGTCTGGCCAGTTCTAGCATCACGTGACCTTAGAGTCACGACAAAGTGTCACAAGTGCACAAAGGCAAACGCTCACACCAAGCCACACGTGATGAGATTGGGGTTCCACTCAGTCACCTGCAGCATCAACACACGCTCAGCCGCGGGCACTGTCGTGTGTGTGAAGCTACACATGACGCAAACACAAGTCAGTTACCCGAGTCCCAACACCTGTCTCCCGCAGTCAAGCTGCTGCCACCTGACACCCTCACCCGTGGTCTCACAGGCACCGCAGTGAGACTCACCCAGACTCACCCAAAGCCCTATGTACAGTTAGGCTACATACACACCCAGTTACACAAACAGACACACCCCCGTTCACGGCCCCGCCAGGCAGCGGTGGCCACCTTACCTCCTGCCAGGTGTCCAGTAACATGACGTCATACTGGCCCAGGTCCTCCTGGCTAAAGAACACCACTTCTGCAAGGACCAGGCAGCCCATCTGGCTGGAGCACTCAAACAGTCGTGGCTGGATGCTGGGGACCTCCTCAGGGAGTCTGGCCAGCAAGGACAGCAAGGCTGTGAGCTGCACAGAGGGCCACACCAGCCTGTGGCACACATGCCCCACCCCAGGGGCTGGAAGCCACTTCTCAGGAGTGGGAGGCCTGGGCCCTCCTGGAGCCCCACCATTCCACTCCCGGGGCACTCTGCTCTGGGCACAAGTCCCCCTCTGCTCACGGAGAAAGCTCTCGCCCGCCCACTTGTGATGCAAGCTGCCCATGAATTTCCCAGGAGAGGGCTGCAGGGGCAGGGGAGGGTCTAAGCTGCAGTCTCACCCTCCCTGGAATGGGAGGAGCTCCTCAGCCCACCCCTGGCAGAGATAAAGTCTCCAGCCCCACGTGGAAGGAGGAAAGGCAGGCTGGGAGGAGACAGGAGTACTGAGCTCAGGAGAACTGGGGGCAGTGCAGTGCGTAAACCAAGCCCCACAGACAGGCCAAGAGCGACGTGGACTCAGCTCCCTCCTCCCCTTGAGGCCTCCAACCTCCTACACAGACCCCATCTGCTTACCCAGCAGACACACGACACCCCGAATACACCTGTTCTTGCACCTCCACACTACCCAGCAGACACACGACACCCCGAATACACCTGTTCTTGCACCTCCACACTACCCAGCAGACACACGACACCCCGAATACACCTGTTCTTGCACCTCCACACGCACTGTATACCCACACGTCATATGACACCGTAGACAGGCACACTGGGCACCGTGACCGCTGGGGACTGTAGGGTGGGGAAGGTGCTTTGCCTCCTGGCCCAGGACCAAGACCGTGCAGGGAAGGGATGCTGCCAGCAGAGGGCGCCACTTCCCCACCCGGCCCAGCATCTTCCAGACCCAAGTTACTCAGCCTGGGCGTGAAGGGTGGGCTGTGCTCCTGGGATTCTCTGTGAGGGGGAAGCTGAGAGTCCCCAGTCCTAGTCTTGTCTCTCCAGCTGTGTGTGTGAACCCCAGTCACCCATCCTCTCTGAACCTCAGTTCCTTCTCTGGGTAAGAACACTCCCCTGCCAATCCTGTTACCTCTTGTTGCTGGGGTAGGGGGCCCGGCCTCCCAGGGCCTCCCAGAAATGGGGAGGCTCCTGACCCTCCAGCACCGTTTCCTCGTTCTTCTTGGAAATGACAGTGACCGCCACCCGCGCCATCTCACGCTGATCACCATTACAGCCCTAGCAGGCAAAGAGATGGCTCAGGCCCTACATGAGAAGGGGTCTCACCTCCGGCCCCATATCCCATTCACAGGGTGTATGGGGGCAGGGCCAGGCCCAAGTTACAGGCGGCCTAAGCTGGCGGCAGGGCACCAGTGAACATAGCATCTCCTCACCCTCCAGGCCTGCGTCCCTAGCTCATCTGGATTAGAGGGCCTGGGACCCTCCTGGGGGATCCAGAGCATGGGATGGGAGGCCTCCAGGCTTAGAGGGTCAGTCCTTGTTTATGCTAAAAATTAGAGAAAACTCCAGCAAACTGACATAGGCCTCCCTTTTTTCCCAAGAGACCTGGGAAGTGACATGCCCCGTGCTCCGGGGAGTAAGTAGGGGGAGGACCTGGCTCTGCCTGTCACTGTAATTTTCCCCGAGTTCCAGAGGGGACAGTGTCTTCTCCTCCTCCCCCTTTCCCCCACTGGTCTATCTGAGGCTGGACTCAAAGTCTGCATCCCCCTGTGGAGAGGACCCCCCACACACACACCTGGCACCACTACCCCTGGGCACGAGTCAAGTGGTCAGTGCTGTGGGTACCTTCCCAAACCAGAGGTAGCAGAAACCGGCTATGACCAGCAAGAAGATGTCATTGGAGTTGAGGGAGGACGCACGAGCTGGCACCTCCACAGTCCTGGTGCTGTAGCTGTCGGTGCCTTGCACATGGAAAAGCCTCGTGGTGGGCGCTGACTGCCCCTTTCCATGGTGCCCAGCTTTCTCCTATGAAAGAGTAGGGCCTCAGGCTGGGGCAAGGGCTCCCAGGGACCCCTTCCTGTCCCACTGTGGGACATATTGCCTCAGAGCTCTGGGACCCTTGCTTGAAGCCACCAAGGCCCTCACTGGTGACTTCACCTGAGGAGTATAGGACCCTCTAGGAGTGGCGGGCAGGAATCCCCTCAGTCTGGGATAGGGACCGGCCCTTTCTAAATGGACCCTTCACCCCATCTCTGAGGGGTCAGGGCATGGGTGCTCAGGCCTTGGAGGTGGAAAGTGGGGACCAGTTTTGCCAGTGTGTGACTCCAGGCAAGCCCCTGGCTCCCTT